TTTTGGGCGTGTGCTGGCAGGGTTGTGATGAGAGCATCGCCCAGATGTTCATGAATTTAGCAAATAAGAGGTCGCCTAGATGGCAGCAGCGCTATCCTGCTCAGGTGATGTGAATATCTGACGTACTGTCCATACTCGTTGAGTGTCTCTCGAACAAAAGCAAGTGTGCTCCGACTATTTTAACTTCCGATCAATGAGATTGTTCGAAATTTTGGCATAAAACGAGAAGTCTATTAGCAGATGAAGGAACTCCAACAGCATCCCGAATCTCCGGTTTAGTGGCAGAGCGTTTCCTACAAGTGTTAGATAAAAAAAATCTTTTTACAGCAGGAGCCGTTTATTTGGCGCCTTTTCGTTGACGACGCATTTGTTTCATCAGGGAAAAGCATGCCGCATAGTTGCATCCTTATATTCTGGAATACGAAGTTTACAGTTGAGCGCACAAAAGAAGAGCATCTGGCTCTTCTTGGTGCGCTGACAAATCCAGTGTTGGAATCTCATGTACTTAGCAGGTAAAATGTCGCCTAGATGGTTCCAAAGCTCTCCTCAGGGATATCAATACATGCCCTACTGTCTGTGGCCGCTGATTCGTTGAATTCCTCTCAAACAAAAGCAGTTAATTTCTTTGGCCCAATTTTGAAAAGCTCGACGATTTTGGTGGAATTGGAACGTGTACCAGCAAGTGAGGCCTTAAGGACACCTAGCACTCTAGGCAACTTAGTTGTCGAGGTCCCACCGGGAGCCATAACTTTAATCACACTTAGGTCGATGTACCTGTCCAACCTACTGCAATGTATGGAATCCATCGATTCTAATAGAGGTAGCTCACTGCCCAAGCAGGATTTCGTAAGCAATCAATCTAGGATCCACCATATAGCTACCAGACAAACCTACTCATTAGGAGGAGCTGTCGACTTTTTAATAAATACAGTCAAAGGATTTATTAAAATCTGTCAAACTCCTCCTCATAATGAAGGTTGCCTGGTAATATTCTGGTGCATTGTAGATTGATTGGTTAAGAAATC